ATAAACAATTACAATATATATTTTTGAAAGCATTCTTACTTTACAGCATTTTTTTACACCTCCCTAAAACTTTTGCGCAGTACTGAACATTTGAGCCAATCTGTTTTGCCACGTTCTGTCTGTACTGTGGCTTCCTGAGAATGTTGTTCTCCGGTGCAAATGTGCTTGCATTTCTCTTGGGGATCTCATGTGTCAAGCAATGATGGAGACTTGTTGGATTCTCGATGTTCTCTGAGCTTGGCATTTTCCTTGACAGGCATTTCATTACCTCAGTCCATAATATCATCAGTGCATTGACATGAAGTGAGGTTTGGCATCTCTTTAGATACAGCAGTTTGTCCTGCCAGCCTGTTGTGGGTATTGCTCCTTCCTGATTGCTTTTCCGTAAGTGGGGCTGGTTCCTCCTCATCTGGCGTTGCTTGATGGGAGTGTGATAAGATATTGACATAGGAATTGATGGAATGTCTACAGAAATAAGGCAAGACACAGGAGAAGAATGAGTAAAGGTTCTAACCAAGCTGTGCCAGCAAATCTGGGGAATGACACAGTGGCCGACAGATTGGAAGAGCTCAGGCTGTATATCAATCCCAAACAAAGGAGACTTAACAGAGTCTCCTTAACGCAGTACTTAATTTCTCATGCTAGCAAAATAATGCTCAGGATCATCCAGTGTAGATCAGAGTCCTACATGGAGAAAGAGATGCCAGTTGTTCAAGCTGGCTTTAGAAAAAGCTGAGGAACGCGAGATGTTATTGCTGATACACGCTGGATAATCAAGAAAGCCAAGGAATACCAAGAAGAAGTCAGGATGGCTTCACTGATTAGAGAAAGGCTTTCGATTGTGTTGATCACGTCAAGCTGTGGAACGTGCTCAGGAAAATGGGAATCCCAGAACATCTCATTGTCCTCACAGGAAACTTATAGACAGGTCAGGAAGCCACAGTACAGGCAGAATGTGGCAAAACAGATTGGCTTGAGGTTGGCAAAAGAGTGCAACAAGACTGCATGTTGTCCCCTTATTTATTCAACCTATATACGGAATATATATTAAGGGAAGCTGGACTGGAAGAAGATGAGCGCAGTTTTAAAACTGGAAGAAGAAACATCAATAACCTCCGCAGTGCTGATGACACCACTCAAACAGCCAGAAATTCAAAGGATGTGCAAAGTCTACTAATAAAAGTCAAGGAGCGCAGTGAAAAAATGGGACTAAATATAAAGAAGACCAAATTCATGACAACAGGTAGAACAACAAGCCTTGGAATTGACAATGAAGATATTGAAGTGGTGGATGGCTTCTGCCTTTTAAGATCAACCATCAACAGTAAAGGAAAAAGCAGTCAAGAAACACACTGCAGACTAGCACTCGGTAGAGCAGCCATGAAGGCCTTGGAACAGGAAGTCAAATGCCTTCATCTGTCTATAAGTCTAAAAGATCAGAATCGTGCAAGCCATGGGATTCCCTGTGACACTCTGTGGAAGCAAAAGTTGGACTTTGAAGAAGATGGAAAGAACCAAAGAGGAGGACGACCAGCAGCACAGTGGATGGACTCTCTTACAGTGGTCATGGATCCACCATTGGGAGACCTGAAGGGCCAAGCTGGGGACAGATCATCCTGGAGAAGGTCTGTCTGTGAGACCACTAAGAGTGGGCACCACTCTTGATGTCCCATAATCAATAAGGTATAATGTGCTCAGGGTTGTTTGCTCTTTCCTTTGATCTTTGGTTATTCCTTTCTGAACAGCTTATAAATGCGCAGTGTTTCTATATGTCTGTTGCCTGATTTGTCAGAGGGCGAAGCTTCTAGGAATTCTCTTGCATGCTCAGAGAACCCTTGCGTGATCTAAAGTGTCTTCAGTTTCCCAGCTGAAATTGTAATTGAACTGGTTTCTGTGTTGTGAAATTAAGCATGCTTCATTATGTCATCTACTGCCAACTGATGTTCATGCAATCCTCTACCTGTTGTTCCTACATGGTGGCCCTTTCACTGCATGTTGTGAAGGGTACTAGTTTTATCTTCTTTGGCTACGGGTTTTAGGGCTGGCTCAGGACGCTTTGGAGGGCTTGGTTTGCTTGCTAAAGAGAGGCCGAGGGGTTGCTGGGGATTTTTGAGAAGTTTTTGATGTATGGCAGAGTTATCCTTTTTGTGGGTTGTAATAGTTGTGCTGTGACTGAGTGTGTGGATAGGCACTTTTGTGAGTTTGCATGCATATCCGTTGAGTTGGAAAATGTAATATTTCTGGTTTTTGGAGTTCTGGGTTACCCTGGTGTGTTTTTGCTTGTCTGGGCAGGATTCCTACACAACTTCCTCTGTGTGTGTTATTAGTGCAGGTTGTCTTATTGTTCTCTTCTTCTTATGTGAATTTGATTCCATCAGAGGTGTTGTTGATTGTCTTACATGTGTTTTCTACCTGTTCTTTTCTGGTTATGGTGAAAGTATCATCTACATAATCAATCTGTATTTGGGGTTGCAGGCGTGGGAATATTCTTGTTTTCAGGCGTTGCATCACATTTGCTACGAATCCTGAGATGGGGTTCTAAAGGTATTCTTCTGATTTGTTTGTTTTTCCATCTACCTGGAAATAAGTGGTAAGACAAAGTTTTATGAGTTCTATGAGTTTTGGTGTTTTGATTTTTGTGTGCTCTGCTAAGTTTGGTGAGTTGTGTAAGAGTGCTGCAACTAATTCTTTTGCCAATTTTGGATCTGTAGACATGCAATGATTTCATCTTCTTCAGTTGTTAGATTTTTGATTTTTCTTGAGGCACCATGATGGTTCATTTCTATCTACGAGCTGTCCAAGTACCTTGGGGTGTTCTTGAGCTAGAGTTTTGGGGTCCCTGGTAGTTGAGTGAAGTGGTATGTCAAGTTTGTGTTTTTTAGAGCACCCATAGACGCGTAGGAGGACAGCTTTTCATACACCCTTGTTCTTCTTTCAAATCAAGAAAAGTCGCAGTGATCTAACCAAAAAGGACCAATCATGAAAGCTGTCTATAAACCGCTACCAAATTTCATTCATGTTGATGCACTGATGATGTTAGCAAGTATGAAAATGAAACATTTGGAAGAACCCCAAGAGTCCAATTGCACAAATTTACTGGATAGTATCTGTGATGTAACTAGGATGACAGTTGAATTGTCAGCTCATGAGATGTCAGCCGGACATGAGAAGAGGCTGTCACATGAGGCTGTGAGCTCTCATCAGTGGAGGTCTTCAAACAGAGGCTAAGTGCTCATCTTTTAGGGGGGTTCTAGTGGATCCATCGCTGAGCAGATGTCCTCTTCCAACCTTTTGATTTGATCTGACAGACAGGTTTGGCCGAGGCCCTAGGAGGGAGGACACAACAGTCATAGCTGCTGTGAGGGGAGGTGCCTGAGGACCTCCTCTTCAGCCGAAGGCTGCAGAGAGGTGGTGGGGCTGGTCCCCAGACTGGGAGACATCCTCCTGTGCCGCCTGGGCTATTTCCAGTTTTTCCTTCTCTTGGTAGATCTTTGTCTTTTTGGCGATCATGTGTTTGATCCTCGCCATTGGCAGCTGTATCTGGGAATACAGACAGGGCTACCAGTTCCAGGTGTACCTGCCCTGGGCAACCGATGTCCACTCAGCATTTTTCTCTGCGTTTCTTGTGTTCTGGTCATATGTCATCATCCTCAACACTGTGGTGCCCATTTCTCTCTATGTCAGGTAAGATGGTGGCCGGAGGGGCCAGGCCAGCCTTTCCCCCCACCTCCCATTGCAGGCACCAAGCTTGAAAGGAGATGCCATGGAACCTGGCAGTCTGAGAGGCAATTGGGGCTGGGACAATTCCTTCTTTCTCCTCCTGGTCACCTGCTTCTGGAGATGGTCTCTGACTCATCCTGGAAGAGCTGCCACTGTGGTTGGCCAACGGGGTGGGATGCACTGAGAAGCAGGCTCAGTTGCCAGACTCCACGGTGCCCTTTGGATGGCTTTGCCAAAGAGAGGGCCTCTCTTGCCACCAACAAACACCTGAGGGGGTTGTCCCTGACTTGACTTGGGGAGCGAGAGGAGAGAGGAGCCCCCACTCCCCAGCCAAGGGGCCTTGTCTCCAGCCACGGCCAGGGTGGCCCTTTGCCCTCTGCGCACAGCTTGCTGCTGCTGCTCTACCGCAGTGTCACATCACCTGGAGACACAGCTGGCTGAAGTCGTATCACATTGCCAGGGTGGGAGGGGGCACTGCCTCCTCCCCTTTCCAGGGTCCTCTCCAGAGGGCAGAGGCCGCCCCTTCCTGCCAGGGGCCCAGAGTATTCCTTCCTTTGCTCCAGCGTTGAGATCATCCGTCTGGGCAACAGCTTTTACATTGACTGGGACCACAAGATGTACTACCCAGCCCAAGACATGCCTGCCCAGGCCCGCACCACCACCCTCAATGAGGAGCTGGGGCAGATCAGATACATCTTTTCAGACAAAACAGGGACCCTCACTCAGAATATTATGGTCTTCAACAAATGCTGCATCGCTGGAAAGGTCTACGGTAAGGCGGGGCCAGACTGAACGGTGTCTCTCTCTCAGATGAAAAGATGGAAGCGGGCCAGCCCTTCCCGGCTCTGGTGCCAGCCCCCCTTTTCCTTGCCAGAGAAGGAAGGGACGAGCGGAGGGGGGACCCCAGCATGTTTCGCACTCTGCTCCCTGCAGTTTCAGCTCTCTGTCCCCAGGGTCTCATTCAGATGAGGCTTGAGGGTCATTTGCAGGAGGTGGACAATGGCTGGCAGGCCTTCATGATCCCGAGCTGTCTCTGCCAGGTAGAGATGTCAGATGGCCAAGAGTTGGGTACCATCAATTCAGGGAGGGTCTGATTCTGACTGCAGGGGGAGAAGTGTGGCGTGGCTGTGGGTGCATCCCTTCGTCTTTATGTTCTTGGTTGTGTAAATGAGAGACAGGCCTAGGAGTTTCATCACAGAGAAGGGGGAGCAGGAGCTCCCCGAGTCCCCAGGAGACTTGCTGTTGTGAGGGGACAGAGGTTCTCTCGCACACAGGCCCTTGGATAGTTTGCAGCTGGTATGTCTGGTTGTCCTTCAAAGCTGGTCTGTGCTTCTCATCCACAGGAGATATTTTTGATTCAGATGGAGACCTGGTGGAGGATGTTGAGGTAAGGGCTGTTCAGCCAACCCTCCTGTGAGAAGGGGCTCTTGTATCCCAGCAGCGCTGGCCACTGCCACCACCAATCCTCTAGGCGGCCCATCCACGTTGCAGAGAGATGATCAAGTCTGGGGCAACGGGGGGCAGGCGGGCAAGGAGAACTCAATTACCCCATATTTTGCAGTGACCTTGTTTCCAGACTATCTGCTCTTCTGCATCGCAGCACTCAAGTGCTGTTGCTCGCTGTGGAAGGTGCTCCAAGGATGCTTGCTCACTTCCAACTCCTGCTGTGCTGCAGCATCCAAGCAGAAGAGGGGTCTGTCCACATGAGAAGTGTGGAGAGAGATGGGGAAGCCCCCTTTGGTGCCATTTACTGGTAGCAAGATCCATGAGTCTTCTGACGTCCGCTCGTCTTCCCTCCCTGGTTGGGGAGAGGAGGGTCATGGGGAGAGGCTCCTGGCTACCTACCTGTCCAGCTGGGCTATTTTTGGACAGGAGCAGTCTTGGGGAAGCTCAATCAATCAATTTTTTTATTGTCCATTGGGGTCCAAGGGGAAACTGGCACAATGCTTGTCAGTTTCAGTCCAGCTCAAATTCTGATATCTCGAATCACTAAGTGTGGCACGGGAGGCTGGCAGCAAGCAGAGATGCACAGTGACGCTAGAGTAGGCAAAGCGGCCCCGCTCCACAACACTTAGGTGGGATATTCCCCTGCAGGACAACAGGCAGGGAAACTGCAGCTCCCCCCTTCCCTGCTGCCCCCAGCTGAGATTCATGAACTCTTCAGCCTGCAGAGGAACAGAAGTTTTGAAGGACAGAATGAGCCCGGGAAGGCCTGAGACGGGCCTGGCAAAGTGGGAAGCTTCCTTCTGAAGAGGGGCAGGCACCCCATCAGCTGGGAGGAAATAGTGTGGAGGGCAGCGCCCACCACAGCACTCCCTAGCCAGTGAAATGCCCAGGCTGCCCAGCACCCCCTGGGCCATCCGAGGTTGGACACACCACTTGTGACATGGAGGAAGAAAAGATGGGCGAGGCCAGGGATGGGTTGAGGATGACGTTGGGTGTTTGCGTCTCCTCAGGAAATGGTTTGATGGGTGTCTTCATGCTGGGTCAGGCAGTAAGTATGGTTGAGCCCTACAAGTAGCGTCACCTCCCCACTGTGTGGGGACGGGTGGTCCCCAGACAGAAGGGAAAGTCCAGTTGAGAGCGGTAGAAGCTGCCACGGTTTTCCTTATTTCCTCCCACAGACCATGGAGAAAGTTGACTTCTCATGGAACCCATTGGCTGACCCCAAGTTTGTCTTCTACGACCACAGCCTGGTTAAAGCGGTGAAGGCCAGGGATGAGCCCGTACACAGGTTCTTCCGCCTCCTTTCCCTCTGCCACACGGTGATGCCAGAAGAAACAAAGGAGGGTGAGGCTGCACCAGAGAGCAGAGCTGGTAGGGGAGCGCGGAGCTCCTGGGTGGCTCATGTTTGCAAAGTGTCCAGCACTGTCCTCGCCCGCAGGTGTGTTGGTGTACCAAGCCCAGTCCCCCGATGAGGGTGCGTTGGTGACTGCAGCCAGGAACTTTGGCTTCGTGTTTCGTGCCCGCACCCCCACAACCATCACTGTGGTGGAAATGGGGGAGATCCTAGTTTATGAGCTGCTTGCTATTCTGGACTTCAACAATGTGCGCAAAAGGATGTCGGTCATCGGTGTGTCTCTCTTCCTTCCCGTCATTCTGATTCTGCATACGTGTTGCTAGAGCTCTTCCTCCGCTTGGGAGTTGGCTTGTGTCACAGCAGAAGCTATAATTCTGCACCACCACAAGACCCTCCCGGTTCCCCGGCCTGACGCACAGCTGCAGCGAGCGGGGAGCAGTGCAGACAACCTGCCTGCTGGGCAGAAGGACCGGAGCCTCGCAAGTGGGCTGCCTGGGCCGTGTTTGGTGGTCTGGAGGGGGGAAGGGGGATGAGGAAGGGCGGGCCTCCCACGCGCTCTGGGTTGGGCCTTTATCTGGGCTCCGTCTTCTGCAGACTCACCTTCTGCTCTCCCTGCCTTGTTCCCAGTGCGAAATCCGAGGGGCAGGCTGACTCTGTACTGCAAAGGTGCCGACACCATCCTGTATGAGCTCCTCCACCCTTCCTGCAGGCGCCTCAAGGAAGAAACCACCGAGCACCTGGATGTATGTGCCCCTGGTGCAGCTGAGATGCTGCTGCGGGGGGTTGCCCCCCCCTCTTCCCAAACGCAGACAGGAGCCTGGCTTGCTGGCTGCTTGCTTTCTGTCCCCAAGAGTCCCTCACCTGGATTGCACTGCTCCCTCCAACATGAGACAAGGCTGTGCTGCCCCCCTCCCCGCTCCCCCCCCCCGTAGGCCTCCTTAATGCCAGCAACAGAGCCAGGCATAGAAGCGAGAGGGTAGCTGAGCTGCAGAGTTGCCGCCAGCATCCTTTGAAGGATGAGGGCATCTGGCACAGCCTCCTACTCAGGGCTGGATCCACCAGAGCATTTCTGACGGGCAACCACCCAGCCTCCGCTTGAAGACCTCCAGCAAAGGAGGACTCACCGCTTCATGGGGCAGTGGTGGGACTAGCTCACAGTTTATCTAGCCTGGCCTGAACCCTTTTCCTCGTGGTTTTAACTCCCCGATTGTAGTCCTGCTCTCTGGAGCAATAGAGAGCAAGCCCACTCCCTCGTCTTTGTTGTAGTCCGTCAGGACCTTCAGAACTAACATCTTTTTGGGCCATAGGCAAAGGACCCCCAGAGGAGAAGCTGTAGTGCCCTGAGGCAGCCCCTTTGGCGCAACTACCAGATGGGGGCCAGCTCAAACTCTTGGAAACACGGGCCAGCTCCTACGTGGGCTCTGTGGCCCGTGTGCCCAGAGGTGCTCCAGATCTGTGGCCTCCCTGGCAGGTTGGATGTGGGGACAGCAGTTCCAAGCACTGGGTGCGCTGGGGGTGACTGGCCACGGAGAGCCTCTGTGGGTGGTCTGGGACCCTGACCCCTGCTGTCTTCCTAGGAGTTTGCAGGGGAGGGCTTGCGGACCTTGGTCGTGGCTTACCGGGACCTGGAGGAGCTCTACTTTGAGGACTGGCAGCAGCGTCACCACCAGGCGAGCACAGACTTGGAAGACCGAGAGGGAAAGCTGTCTGAACTGTATGAGGAGATTGAGAGAGACCTGCTGGTAGGCTCCCAGCAAGAAGCGGGCAAGCAGTGGGCAAAGGCAGGCAGCAAGAATGGTTTGGGCTGCCATGGTGGTGCCTTTCTGGGCAGACCTTCCTCCAAATCTGCTCTGAGGCCAGGAGGAAGCTGTTGCCTATTTCACTCACACCATCTACCAATCCCAGCAAATGGCAGTCACACACCCCCCCCCCACAGATGCTGCTCCCAGGGCGATCACGTGGTGCCCTTGGACCACCCAGCACCTTGGGGCAAGGAGTTCTGCTGAACAGTTTGGTAACCGTCTGTTCATTGATCAGGGAGTTTCTCCTTCAATGCTTATCCTTGAGAACCCTGTGCAAGGCAGCTAAAAAGCATAACTATTCAATCACACGCACACACGCGCACACACACAGACCTTCAGCTGCAGCAGAGTAAATTATGCGGCACGCAGGCCCAGCAGACTTCATCCAGCTTGGATGACGCTGACCCTGGCTAGATCCAGCTTATCCCAAGGGGAGGATCATCTCCTGGAATGAGACCACAAGAACATTTTATATGTTGTTTTTCTTTTTTAAAATGTTGCTTGAGCAGTCATTAGTGTGGAAAAGGAAAGCGTAAGATGCGCCGTGCCTGGACTCCACACTGCTTGCCTTCTGCACGGGTGTATACACAAATACCTATTGCGAGGTAAGCAGTGTGGCGCGCAGTGCAGAAAAGGAGCGAGAAAATCTTAAGCCAAGGAAATTAAAGGCACAAGATAGGAAAAAGGAAGGGGCGTATCTAAAACCTATTTGCACCAACACCTTTCTGTCACCGCACCCACCCACTGCTTTGTACTCGCCTTTGGTTCTCTAAACGTCTCCCGTCTCCCTTTTGAGGGTCTCGTCGCTTTCACCCAACCACGGTTTTCTCAGTCTCCCCCTCAGCCCTCCCTCTCTCCCCCTTGACTCAGTCATCTTTCCGTCACCGAGCTGTTTACAATTCAGTCCTCCTCCACTTTCTCCAAACCGTCTCAACACCCTCCTTGCTCATCCCAGGTCCACGCATCACCCATTCGTTCTGGTCTCTCGCTCTTCTGGTTACCACTCGTACGTCTTAGGTTCCACGTGCCCAACACCTGCTCCCCTATGGCGCTCCCGTATGATAAATATTCATTCCTTGCAACTGACCACATGCTGGCCATTTCCTTTCTACCAGCATTTGCACACCTTAAAGTGTCTAATCGAGCCAAGATTCGCTGCCTGCATCCCACGGATGAGGGATTTGCAGTGTATTGACAGTGCACATTGTGCCACAGAAGAGTTGTTTTCCTTTCCTTCTGTCCATGCCTTGGGCACACGATGGGTATTTATGTCTGTGCTGGACAGTCTCTCTGGGTGCCCCTGTAGATCCGGCCTGTCCTTCTAGTCACTGTGTGGCTCTTAAAATGTGTCCACTTTTCCGCTGCTGTGTTGCATAACTTGGGTTTTTTTCATCGCCTGCCTGTCCGCCTGCAGCGAAATGCCAGAAGGTCACAGGAAGGACGAGGGTCCAGTGGGGATGCACTTGAGAAACGCCTGGCCTATTCTGGCTCCTGACTCTGTTTATGACTCTGCCTCTGCCGCTTGTCCTGGCATAACAATAGATGCTCCCCCCACACACACACACGCACCGCACCGTTAACGCTGCTGCGTTGCAAGCCTGGCAACAGGCAGTTCTCTGGAGGGAGAGGGTGTGTGGCTTGAGAGGATCAGCCAGCACCCTGGCAGGTAAACGATGCTTGAGGCACCAGCGCGTTGGGAGAGGCACCCCGCCTGCCCTCGCCAGAAGGTCCCCACCCCGACTGACCGCTCCTTTCTCTCTAGTTACTTGGTGCCACTGCCATTGAGGACAAGCTGCAGGACGGTGTTTCCCAGACGATTGAGATCTTGGAAAAGGCACATATTAAGATCTGGGTGCTCACCGGCGACAAGGAAGGTACCAAGCAGGGGGAGCAAAGAGCAGACAGTGAAGGACTGGGGCAGAAGGGCCTAAGCTGGGGAGATCCGGAAGTGGCACCCCAGAACTCCCATTGGGCACATTCAGGGGACGTGGTGCCCCTCTGCTACCCACCTGTTGTGGCAAGAGGGGTCATGCCTCCACCCTCCCGCCCCTGCCCCCGGGTGGAATACACTGGGAAGAGCCTTCCTCGCTTCAGAGCAGCTGCTCCCCAGCAAGGTTCCTGGGCAGATAAACGGGTTCTCGAAGGACTGCTGCTGGGAGGGGAGGCAGGAGGGCCGCCCTGCCCTCGACCGGCAGCTGAGGAACCCTGCTGGCAAAGGCGTCAGCCTTCCTGCCTCCAGGAACCAAACAGACGGGTCAGCAAGCTTTCCAGGCCAAATCTTTGGTCTGCCTGGGGAGCCAGAATCAGGAGAGGAGCACAGAAGGAAGTCACGCAGGTGTGGCGGAACAGAAACACGCAAGTGCAAAGGCAAAAGAAGAGAGAAGCGGGTTCTGCATGTGGGCAAGGAGAATGGGATGCCAAGGCAGAGAGAAGAGCAGGTCTTGGATTTAGCTGAGTTGAGGAAGGCCAGCAAGGAATTAAGAATTAAGTCCTAGCTTTGCATACAGAAGATCCCTCTGCCAGGACAGTGGGCTTCGTCTTCTGGCTGGCATGCCAGTTCTCTGGATGCAGGGTTAGGGCACCCTCCCCTGGCCCCATGTAGGCAGGCCCCTGGGGACTATGTGGAGGCAGGCCAGACGAGGGCTCCCCATGGGGAAAGGAGGGGGTCTCTCTTCTTCCTTAAGATAATGGACCGGGGGGCCTTTTTCCCCAGAGACTGCGGTGAACATTGGCTACTCCTGCAACATGCTGTATGATGCCATGAAGGACATCTTCTTCATCCACGGCAACAGCTCAGAGGAAGTGCAGCAGGAGCTCAGGTGAAGAGCGTGCCCGGCTTCCCTCCCACCCTTTCTCGTGCCCATCTGTGAGAGAGGACAGCTGCTCCGGGTGGGTCGGTTTCAGATGGGAAGGGCAGCTGGGCAGAGAGAGGATGGAGAACCAGAGGACAACGGAGCCGGGGAGCATCCTTGCAAGAAACCTCGTCCAACTCCTGGAGGAGCCGAGGGTGCCCTCAAGGTCCCAGAGAAAGCACAGCTGCTCTCTGCCACCCTTTCAGAAGCAGCCCTCACTCAATCATCCCGGCTGCTGCTGGACACAGTGACCAAAGGCGGGCCTCTCTGAGGGCCAAGGCCTCATTTGGGGTGTCAGAAGGAGTGTTCCCTTAGGACTCCCAAACAGGAAAGGATCCTCTCAGACTCACTGAACTGCCACATTTCTGGGCTGCCCTCCATCTCCAAGGCAGCGACCGAGAGGTGTGGGTGGCAACCCCCAGCTGGGCCACACGTGATCCTCACAGTCTCTGCAAGCTGCCTTCATATAACATGCTTAATCCATTTCTGGGTTCATTCAACACGGTAAGAGGCAAACCAGCCAACCAAGATTAGCACGTTGTGAAAGGCCATCGCCAGGTCTTTATCTGACCGTTGTGTGAACCCAGCCATTTTTCAGGGTGTCGTGTGGACCTAGGCAATGGGATGAGCCAAGTCTGCCAGGCAGTGACTGCCTCTCAATTTGATGGTTCGTTCAGACATGAGCCTCTTAGATTTCTCTGGCCTAGGTCCATTGAATGTTTTAAACAATGCGGAAACTGCCCAGAGTTGGTGGGAATAAGGTGGCATATACATTTTAATGATGATGTTAATAATAGTGGCTGTGGCGGCGCCATCCGTGGCTCAGTGGGATGCGGTTTGGACGGGAACGAGTCGCTGGCCGGTCAGGGCTGTCAAGGAGAGGTAGAAAGCGTGCTGGCGGCCCTGTTCCCCCGAACCATTTGCACGGGTGCAGCTCAAGTCCCACAGCCGTTGCTGGGTGCCCCTCCGCCCGGCTTCTGTGTCCCTCTGGCCTTGCCCACAAGAGCCATCAGGTTGCAGCCCCGCGTGAATGCGACAGTCCCCCTCTCTGTGCACATCCAGGGGGTTCACCGCGCTCGATCTTTGTTAGGAAAGCAAGGGACAGGATACAAGTGGAGGCTGCCACGAAGGAGGACGAGGTTGACATCCACACCGTGAAGTCCAGCTGCTGCAGCTTCTGGAACAAAGAGCCAGCCGCTGGAGAGTACGGCCTGATAATTAACGGGCACAGCTTGGTAAGGGGCGTCTGAGGCTGTGCGCCTTCTCCAATGGACCAGGTTGCAAGCCAGGGTCTGTAGGGCCCAGGGGGCAAAACAGCGGAAGCCTGCAGTAATGCCATGCCCCTGCCCCCTGCCCCCCACTCCCGAGATTAGACTGGCCCCGATCCTGGCAGCGCTGAAGACCTGAAGGATGTGCTCTGGGGGGCGGGGAGGGGAGGTCAGATGTTACCACTGAGTGTTCGCTGGGCTTCTTTCTGGCAACCGTTGTAGGTTTTTGAATGCTTTGGTGATACTGTGAGAAGGGCGGCCATGTAAAGCGACTTAATAAGTAAATAAATGAGTGCCAGCAAGGGATGGTCCCCCAAGAGCCAGGGAAGAGAGCTTCTCCCTGTCCTTGCTCAGCCCAGAACTCGTTGGCTTTTTCCTGCGTGTTTTGCACTCCAGTCTTGCTACCTCTCTGGGGGAAGGGCTGTCCTCTCCCACACACTCATGCCCGCTCTGTGCCCGTGTCAGGCCTACGCGCTGGAGGGGGAGCTGGCGGAAGAGCTGGTGAACACAGCCTGCCTGTGCAAAACGGTGATCTGCTGCCGGGTGACTCCTCTGCAGAAGGCCCAAGTGGTGGGGCTGGTGAAGAAGTACAGGAACGCCGTCACCCTGGCCATCGGGGATGGCGCCAATGACGTCGGCATGATCAAGAGTGAGTGTGGCGGGGTGGCTCTGCTTGCGGCCAGGGCCAGGGGAGAAGCTGCAGAAGGCAGAGGGACTCTGGGCATGGGCAGGACAAGCCGGGCAAAGGGGCAGAGCACGGAAAACAAATCCAGCGGGGCGGCCATGGCTGCTGTGGCTGGCTTTCTCTCTGCTTTTGGAGGCACGGCTGCAGATGAGTGCCTCGCGTTTCCTTGAAGGATGGCCGCAAACACATCGGCGTCTCTGTCCCACCCTTCCTAGTCTTCCGCTGTGCCATCTCATTAGGCTTGGAGGCCCAGTGCCGTAGCCTCGGGACCATTGGGGTATGTCCGTCAGTGCCTGGTGCAAAAGTCCCTGGGGCCTCTGGATTGCCCCCTCCCTCCTGGCGCTCACACGACCACCTCCTCCATCCCTCTTGAGTGGAGGGGCTGCTCCTGAGCCCTGCCCTAAAAAGAGGTTCTGGGATAGAGACCTGTCTGTAGAAGACCTCGGGGCTCCTGGAGTTGAAAGGGGCTGCGGAGGTGCTCCGCTCTTCCAAGTTCACGCTTGCTGGACCGATGGCTGTCGAGTCTCCCCTTGGATGCATCTGGTGAAGGGAGCCCCCGCCTTCATCATTTGCACTCTCAACGGAGCTGCAACGTTTTCTCCAACAGCCTCGCCCTTCCTTAAACTCTTCCAGGATTCTCTGGAAACCTTGATTTAAACAAACATTTCGATTTCAGTCAGGGCAATTAAGGAAGGCCCCATAGTCAGCCGCAACCCTGGACTAGCCGGGGCCGTTCAAATGGAAATTTTCAAGTAAGCAATACAAGCTGACGGGAAGGGCTGAGACAAGGCGGTGAAAGCCTGTCATAGCCCACTCTGGCACAGCCTCTGGGCATGTCAGATGCCCTCTTTCATGACAGGCTGTCATTACATCCAGGTCCACTGTGAGCCCCAGTTTCTCAGCAGGGTGGAGGGTGGGAGCTCCTCTGCTGAGATGAGGTGGCTCCCCCTGGCAAGAGCGGCGGAGGGAGCAGAGTCGGCTGGGGGGGGCACTGAGGCCAGTTTCCTGCCAGAGGGCAGGAGGGGTCCACATATAAGCCCCCCAGCCCGTATGCAGGCCAGTCTCGGCTTCTCCCCCTCCCGCTCCCAGCTGACAGCCTGCCTCCGTTGGGTCCTGCAGCTGCCCACATCGGCGTTGGCATCAGCGGCCAGGAGGGGATGCAGGCGGTGCTGTCCAGTGACTTCTCATTCGCACAGTTCCGCTACCTGCAGCGGCTGCTCCTGGTCCACGGCCGGTGGTCGTACATCCGCATGTGCAAGTTCCTGTCCTACTTCTTCTACAAAAACTTTGCCTTCACGCTGGTGCACTTCTGGTACGGCTTCTTCTCCGGCTTCTCTGCCCAGGTACTTGCCTTGCACGGGCCGTGGCTTCCACCCTAGAGGCAGCCGGCGGGGAGGGCGAAGAGGGCTGGAGCGCCTCCCTGGCCCGCTCCAGCCAACGTCCCGGTGGCATCACTCTTCCTACCGGGCTGTCAGACGGGCGGGAGTTCCTTCCAGGAGTCTCCGCCAGGCAGAGCCTGGTGAAGGAGCCAGCTGGTTGGCTAATGGCCATGAGTGCTTTTCCTTCGCCAGGACAACGGGCAGTGCGAGAAGTGGCCGCGGCAGTTGCCCAGCAGCCTTTCGGAGGGGTGGAGGAGATGGAGGAGTGCCACCTGCGGGCCCATCTGCTCTCAGTCCCCACCGCTGCGGGAGACAGGAGGAAAAGGCCTGCCTCTCTCTCCACCCCGTCCTCCGTTGTCCGCGGACTCTCCCGCCATTCCTCTCGGCCCCCGGCTCCCTCTCTCCTCAGTGGCTGTGGCCCACTCAGCTGGGGGAAAGAGCTCCTAGTGGACCCCTTGGAGAAACAACCTGGAAGCCCCACCAGGAGTCACTCGCCTGCCATGGGGCCTTGACACAGCCAGGCCCGGAGCCCTCAGACCCACTTTCGCCGGGGGAGGCTTGGAGGGAGGATGAGGAGAATTAAATCCTTCTCCTGATTCAAGAGGGGAGGCGGGAATTGCAACTCGTGCCCATGATTTCTGGTCCTGGATTCTGTGGCCATGGAAAATCGTTCACCACCGTCTTCCCTGTAGCTTCCCTTTATGGACCTGAACGTGGCCGCCCTGTCTGCCCTCCATCTTCTTTTCTCCAGACCAAACCTCCCCAGTTCCTCCAGTCTGTCCTCATCAGGCACGTCCTATGGGCCCTGTACCACCTTCCTTGCCCCTGAACCCTCTCCATACCCTTCTGGAAATAGGGTGCCCAGAGTCATACAGACGTGCTCCAGGTTTGGTCTCGCCAGTGCCAAGCAGAGAGGAATAAGGACTTCCTGGGTCTGTGATGTGGTGCTTTTTCTGATGCACCCCACGACTGCATTAGCCCTTCGAGCAGCTGTCTCATGCTGCTGGCTCATGCTCCGTCTGTTCTCAGTGGCCACCCCCTTCTTCTCGGCTTTGGGAGTCGTGCGGTAAAAGTTTAAGAACCAGTTCTGCTGGCTCCATTGCTGCCGCTGCATGACTTGGCACGGAATGGCTGATCAGTGTGGCAGGAGTCGTGGCTTGGCTCTGCTCTTAACTGGCTTGCAAAATTCCAGAACATGTAACAATCGATTTGTGCGAGCCAGCTCCAGCACACCACTGGGGTCGTGCCTGGGAAGCTCTCCATCTTACATGTCTGTGCCCTGGGCCAGTGTGTTGGACCGGGACATGAGCCTCACAGCCTGGATTTGCACAGCATAGCGGCTTGCAGAGAGAGAAAAAAACCTAGCTGGTTAAAACTAAGCAATCTCAGGATGAGTACACACGTAGCTTCTCGACTGTGCACCGTGTGTGAACCCAGCTGACCGATGGCTGCAGCAGTCACCCTCTCTCAGCCAAGCCAGGCTCTGGAGTCGCTCTAGGCAGGCAGGCAGGCAGGCAGGCAGACCCATCACCCCACTGCCTCGTAGGGAAAGCTGCCTTATGCTTTCCTCTCAACCCATTTATTCTTGCCTCAAAAGTTTGTTTTGTGTGTTGATTCTCATTCATTCCCTCTTCATGTCCAAACCACCTCATGTA